TGCCTGATCTAACTTCCTCACTCTGCCTATGGGTAGAGGTAGTCTCTATTACCTTTTCTCTTTAATCCAGCCATAGCTCAGTCTCTTTCTATGTTACCCCAATCAATTAAAACAATTAAATTAAAACTATTAAAGCTATAATATTTGGGGCTAACATTAATTAATTAGCACTAAGTCACCATGTTAATGGCATTTGACTCTCATGGGATAAAAAGTTAATATATGGATGTAATTGGTTACAAATAATTAGTTTATTGCAAGCTCTGACAACTGTTACAGTAAGTATATTACACACTGTTTGAAGTTAAGAGATGAGCAGAATTCATTGTACAGCAGTGGCCTGGAAATGTAAAAAAAATGAAATCCAAATTGCAATATGGCTGACAAAAAATTGCAAAGCTTTTGGACTCAGAAATATTAAAGCTAATAAGATACAATGATATGTCTTAGTATATCTTTTCATTCAGATTTACAGAACATGAATCATTCTTGAAATTTAGCTGAGATCCACCTTTATTTCATTACCTGAAAAGAAAAATGCCAAAACATATAGTGATGACAGAACAATAAGCTTCATGAACTTTATGCTCAAGATTTCTTGAAAAATAATGCATGATAAAATTTACAACACATTCAAAGAATGGACAGGAAACATGCAGGAGGATTTAGAATCAAAGAAGCCCTTATTCTGCTTATGAATACTTAGGGAGATTGTTAGTGAAACGTCATTCTATAAATCAAGCCATTTTGATTTTTTAAAAATAAATCAATTATCTTTTTTTTAAAATTCTACCCTCCTTTCTCTCTTTAGGGACTCAAGATGGCGTACAAATGATTTAATATTAAAACAATACCTAGAATCACTCTATTAAAAATAAATTACACATTTCAATTATTAAAATGCCAAATGAAACTTTGCTAAAACCAGTTTAAAATACAAGAATAAAAGAATAAGCAGAAGTGAAAGAAAAGAAAGGAACAATTTCCCCCTTGAAATCCCTCCCTTGGTAGCTGTTTACATTTTTAAAGCCTGCCTGAAGAGCAAGGTCTTTTTGCCCACTGGCGGAAGAACAGAAGGGAGGGGAGACCAGCATACTTTTCCCATGGAGCAGCCACTGAAAAGGCCCTCTTCTGTGTGTAGGAATGGACCTCAACAGATGGGAAACCTTGACATCTGACCGTTCAGCCTGGAGGCAGGCGGTGCATCACGGCCTCTCCCAATTTGAAGAGACACTTGTCCAGCAGGCCGAGGCAAAGAAGCAGTCCTGAAAGCAGCAAAATCAGGGATCTGGACAGGGGACAGATTGTATGTCTTCAGTGTGAAAGGGACTGTCAGAGCTTATAGATGCTGTTCCAAGACCTACTACTATAACCTCCTCCCATGATCTGGAGAGAACCGCCCCCCCCGGCTGGATTACGGGACTGGGAGCCATTACAAGGGCAGGCGCTGGAGCAGTCCTTTGATGGCGCTGCTGCTTCGCGTCCCTTTGCAAGTCGCACCTCAGATTTTGTACATTTCCCACATCTGATAAAGCCGGCTGCCATTCCCCGAAAATTTATGAGGCAACGCCTTTGCTAGCTTCTAGGTTACTAGCGGAAGCTACGGCTTGCTGTTAACGCAGCAACGTACTAATATTTTCAATATCCTCCTTCCCTTGTGGCCGTTTCACTGGCTTTGATCGTCACACTCCTCGCTTTACGGACCTCCTTGTTTTCTATTTCTATCGGCCTGCCTCACGAGCTGATCGGCACGCCCGCCTCTTAAAGGGAAAACAAAGCAAAAACTTGTGTCACTCAGCAGACCCGCAGCCACCCCTTGCTCTGGGGAGGAGGCGCCTGAAGCCCCCCCCCTCTCCGTCTCCTCCCTTCCCGCCGCTCCTGCTTCCTGCTCGCGGCGGAACTACAACTCCCAGAACCCCCCCACACCCCCGCCGCCGGATTGTCGCTCTGGCTCTGAAAGTGAAAACAAACTTCGGGGCGGCCGCTGCCCGTTTCAGTGGAAACACCACATGTTTCGTTTCCCTTTTGTTTCGGCTCTCGGAGGCGGGTGAGGCGTCAGAGGACCTGCCGGGACCGAGCCATCGCTTCGCTCAGGGAAGGAACTCGGCGCAGGAACTCCCGGAGGCTCGGGGGGCAGGATCCAGGCGAGCGGGCGGCCGGCCGGCCAGGCCAAGAAAGAGGCAGGCAGGCGGCCACCCCCTCCGGTTCATGCGGCCGAAGCGGCGTCTCTCGCCGGGTTCCCCCATGCGACCTCCACACGGGCCTCCGACTCCCGCCACCGCCTTGGCAACGCCCGCCCGCCTCGGGGTTGCGCTCTCTGGTGCGGTTGGCTCCAGAAGATGATTTTGGTGGGTCTTCCCTTTTTACCATGTGGGGCTAAAGTGGGAGCAGGTGGCAAGAGAAGCGGCTTCTTCTCGGCAGCTCCTTAAGCAAAGAAGCGTCCCTCGCTCGAAATGGAGGCTGGCGGCGATAATAAGCCACGTTTCGAGGAGGAGGAGGAGGAGGGGGCGGCGGCCCAGGCACAAGCACCGCCGCCGAGGAGTCCCCCGGGCGGGAGCGTGGAGGTGCCCGCCGCGGACTCCGCCATGGACGCCTATTTGCGATCTCAGGGATTGTACCGAAAGCGAGTGGCGAAGGACGGATCGTGCCTCTTCCGAGCCGTAGCCGAGCAGGTAAGGGGCACGGAAAGCGTGCCGGGGGCGGTGCCGACTTGGGCTTTTGGGGTGGTGGTGTCGAAGAATAAGAGGCGGCAGAACTGTTGTAAAAAAAAAAAGGGTTGGGGAAGAAACGTAGGGGGGCTGATTTTGCCCCTCGACCCTTCCCTGGCCTCCCCCCCCCATCAAGACCACCTGGGCGGCGGAATATCTCCCGCGGACTTTGACCGGTTTGGTGCGTGTTGTAGGATCTCTGGAGGCGAAGACGCTAGGCTGGAAAGAAGGCTGGCCTTTCTCCGAAACAAAAAAAAGGGAGCGATCGGTAGTCGGGTGTAGCCGCTTCATAAAACAAAACGAATTACCAGGTCCTTCCTTATTCGAGCCCCAGAAAGCAGCGGCATCGAGTGTTTTGAGAGATTTTCCCCGATGGCTTCCCTCCATTGACGAGGAAGCGAAACTTTTCCCTGCTGGAAGGGGCTCATCCTCTTACTTTTCCATCCAAGCCCTTAACACTTCCCCGGTTTGGTTTTTGAATCTCCAGTTTGATATGCAGGTAATCGACGGTTTGGCAAATCGAGTCACTTTTGCCAACCAAGGGAAGAATAAAAGGCAGTGCATTGTTTTTTCTTCTTCTTTTCTTTCTTGCGTTATATACATGCGCAGGGATAGCACCGGGTTTACTCCCTCCTTGCTTATGTAACGTGAAAAAAGTTATGGAAGAGGGTGAAAAGAACACCTTATGTTTTGCTGCCTCCTTTGTAAGTGTGCCATCAACATGCATATGAAATGCCTCCACCGTAAATTTCTTGGAGCTTCCTTTTTGTTGTGGCTTAAGGTGGACTTCAAAATTTTGCCCTGGAGGCTGTGCGCAGCTTTCTGGCCTACAGAATAAACAAACGCCTGAAGGGCTGTTTTAGATTAGGCTTATTTCCGGTGGATGTAATGACTGGGCATCTTTTGAAAAACTGAGAGTGGAGAACTTTCCATGACCTTGGTATCCTTCTGTTTCTTAGGGCTGTTATAGGGGTCTGGGGATATCAGCTTCTTCTGCTGTCAGATTGGTGCTGGATGAGACACGGGTTCTGAGAACATGCCTCTGGTGGCAGCTAAAAAGAAGCTGTGAATCACTCAGGAACTTATTGACCTCTTTTTATTATCTTGTAAAAGGATCAGGCCAGCCAGTGTCTCTCAGCAGTTCTCTCCTCTGATGACAATAAGCTTGAGCCAGGCTGATGTAGTGGATAGTGACAGATTAGGAAGTAGGAGATAGGGGTTCAGATCCCTGCTCGGACATGAAAACTCCCTTTAGATGGTGCAAAACCATTTCTTTAACATCCCATGTTCCTTGAAAATGCTGTTAGTCGCTGTAAGTTGGTTAGATGTGACTTGATGGCACATAACATTGGCATTAAATACTCAATTTGTAAAAAAAAAAAAGTGTGGAGGGACAGTTAGCCAACATTAAATACTCAATTTGTAAAAAAAAAGTGTGGAGGGACAGTTAGCCATTTTTTGATGTTTGGGTTCTTTTTTAAAATGACAGTGACACATTAAAATTTGTAGGAAAATAAAAGGATTATAGTTGGTGAAAATCAAGAGCAAGCAAGTAACGTGTAATTTGTTTGAATGGTAGTTCCAACTTCAGTTGGTAAAGCATATATCTCAGCTCAGTGAACAACTATACCAATATGGTTGCATGCTGTTGTTGCTGGTTATAGGCTCAGACCTAGAGCCCAGTTGTTTGACCTCTGTTCCTCATCTCACTTAGATTTATTGGAACCTTATGCCAGATCCTTGTTCTGCTCTTCATTTTAAGCCTGCTCCACATTGGAAACAGCATTGTGAATATTGAGGTCTGAGATGGTACAGTGTATATGTAATTCTAGAGTATATGTAATTCTAGAGTAGAGGTGCTCCACTTAACTTTAACACTTTACAAAACTTTGTAAGCAGAAAGCTAGTGCATCAAGTTGTAGGCAGATTAGAACCTTCATCCTTGTTCTGCTTTTCTGTGTTTTGTTTCTGCCTGCATTCAAGGTTCCTCTTGTTTAATTAGAGGCTTGCAAGAACATGGACTGAAATCCTGTTGTGCAGTCATGCAAATAGCATCACTTTTAGATGCAGATGCTTTGTTAAAATATCTCTGTAGACTTGCTTGTTGCATGCCATGCAGTGTACCCTGGTATGCAATATATAATGTCTACGAGATTTCTTAATTTATGGCAATCCTTTTTCAGAAGCTTCACTTCTTGCATAACTCTGCAGCAAGATTTCAGCCATTGTTTCCCACTGTGTTTACATTGATAAAGATTACTCTCTCACTTTGTTTGTTTTCATGCCTCAGTTTTGGGGGTGTAATAATCTAAATTTAATTTTTGCATTTACCACTAATGTAACTTTGACCCTTCAGATTTCTAAGAACTTCCTGTTTGTAACAAATATGTAAATTTGGAACTTGATAATGAGTGCTCATTTTATTTGTAAATTTCGTACCTTTTCAATCAGTTCATGTTCTAAAAAGAATAATATCTTCTCCAGGTTTTCCACTCTCAATCTCAGCATCTTGACATTAGAAAGGCCTGCATAAGCTACCTGCAGGAGAACCGAGAGCAGTTTGAAGCGGTAAATAAAATATGTTTGTATTGTGGGTGGCTGGTGGAACCTTTGCTGTTTCTAACTGCTTTGATTTGTAGGTTTCAGCAATCTTGTCCTCCTCTCCCAACTATTCTCTTCCTTGGTGACATTCTTATTGATCAAGAAGAACAAAGGGTTTTGGGATGTCTTAAACCAGTGGTCCCCAAACTTGGGTCACCATATGTTCTTGGACTAAAACTCCCAGAAGCTTTCATCAGTAATTTTGCTGGCCAACATTTCTGGGAATTGTAGTCCAAGAATATCTGGGGATCCAAGGTTGGGAACCACTGCATTAAACACTAAGAAGTTTTATTTGGTTTAAGCTTTTATAGACTGCAGCATACTTTTTAAAATTCAGAGTAATCTGAAGAAGTAGGTTGCTGTCTGTGAAAACATATGTGTCAGACTTTCACGTGTTGCAAGGCTCTGCTATTAGTGCTGCAGATTATGGATTAACATGGATACTGCTCTGAACTGGTTTATGGTTGAAATCCTGGCCGGAATGGAATTGATGTAGAGCCAGTCAGTGTATCTCTGGTTGGAAGAGTGTCTTGAGCTGCATGATATCAGGATAGTAGGATATACCTGGAATACCTCAAAAATATATTAATTCATCTGTGTGGATAGTCCTTCCTCAGATACAGATCATGACTATTGCACAGTACTGTATTGTTATGCTTCTAGTTGCAGTGGCCAGTCCATTGCCTGGTGGCCAAACTTATGGTGGTGAGCTCTCCATGTTTAGCTAGAGCTGTCTTCGAGTGACAGCTGTGATTTGCCCAGAGCTATATTGAAGACCTTACTGACTTGCTAAAACCTGCCAGAGCTGATGATCCTCTGATGTAGTCTTTGAAAATGTAGGGTCTCATCCATGCTGCAATAGGGTGATGTGATGGGACTTTGTGGAGATAATAGGATATAAACATACAGTACTAAATAATTTAAGTTGCAGGTACCTGTAGGATACTAAACTACCTTTCTGAGAGAATGTTTGTGAAATGGTCTCTAGCTTATGAGGTCCAGGCAGTCTGTCTAAGATCTATTAGAGTCTTATGACACCTTTTAAAAAAACACGGTTTATTTGGCACACATTTTGTGGACTACAATAGACAGTGCAAGTGGCCTTGATTACTTGATGAAGTAGACTACAGTTCATGAAAATTCATGCCAAATAAACTTGTTAGTTTTTAAGACGCTATGAGACTGGTGTTTTTTTTTGTTTTTGTTTTTTGTTTTTTGCTACAAAAGATTGATACAGCAATCCTTCTGAAAACTGATCATTCCCTGAATCTCATGAATTACTGGGTCTCAACCTGTGGCTCTCCAAATATTTTGAGCATCCTATACATCAGAAGGTTAAAGGATGAGAACCACTGCCATTTGCTGTATATTGCCTAAGCTTCTTTGTGATCTTCTTTCCTGATGTAGGTGTAGCCTTGATAATATTCTTAGCATATGTGTAATTTTCATAGAGAGCTTCTTTGTGATCTTCTTTCTTGATGTATTTGCATTGTTCCCCCCCTTCCTGTATGTAGGTGTAGCCTTGATAGTATTCTTAGCATATGTGTAATTTTCATAGATACTGCACTCATGTCAATTGGACTTGGGGGACAGGGAGGGCTATGAATACTCTTGGAGAAAGACCCTTGTTACTACACAAGCAACATTCTTGGCTGTACAGCTGCTTCTTACATTGGACCACCTACCTGCATTTCTAAGCCTCTCCTAAGAGTGTAACTGTACAAAGTGCATATGCATAATGTGGAAGATTATTATCATGCACCTGTTTACGTTGATGCAAGCTTGTTATATGGGTGTATACGTTCTGCATCAGTCTCTTCAAAGCATTGGCACTGGCTCACTGCAGCCCATGGTTCTTCCACAAGTGAGGCTTGAATCATCACACTTTTCTGCTTTTTCATTGTTGTGTGCCTGGAGATGATCTATCCATGTGAACTAGCCTTTAGATGTTTATTCATAGGGCCGTCCTCTTCACAACTTGAATACTCAGGCAGTGGTTCCTTTTGGTTCAACTGATTAAATACATTGACGATAGAAGAGAATTAAGAGCAACTGCTAAAGTGTTTGTCGAACACTGACACTGTTGCAGCCTTACTTTGTATATCATAAGGAAAAAAGGAAATAGCCAGAATATTGACTTGCCCTATTGCAGGAGGGCAATCATACAAGTCCTCCCCTGCCAAGCAGGCTCTCCTTTGCTTAACTGCTCATGAACTGCAAATTTTGGGGCTGCAACTAGTTGTGCTATTGATTATATGAAGGACCACCTGCTAGTGGGGAGAAGCCACTGTGTAATTGACCATGTAGACATGCATTTTATTAATAGAATTCTGTCCTGTGTGTTTTACTGTTTTGAGCCCATGACTATATTACAGTTAGGAAGACAATAGAGAAGTTTCATTAGGGCAGAAAATAAGTCACTGGAGAGTGGATCTATATTTTTTTGCTTAATGTATGCCAGACATAACTCCAACATGTCTTTCTAATGTCCAGGCTTAGCTATAAGGCTAATAAAATGTTTTGGAACAGGTTCATTTTTCTCTCCAACAACTAAATTTTCTGAAACTGGAGATCTGAGTAGGAACATTGTGTCACAGAAAGAATCAGTTCTGGCATCTTTTTCTAGAAATTGAACAAAGTATTTACATTCATTATGCTGCTAATAACAACTTTTCTCATGTTTCTCTTTTGAAGTTTATAGAGGGACCATTTGAACAATATTTGAAGAGTCTAGAAAATCCACAGGTATGTACCATCACTTAGTGTGCAGTGTTAAACACTACTTAATTAAAGACATATGTATTCAGTTAGCCTAAAAGTAAACCAGAAATTTCAACAAATGTTTCTTAGCTGTTGCTGTTTTATATTGTATGACATATTGGCATTTGTAGAAATATATATATTCCTTGCACATCATTACATATTTGTCATTGATTTTGTGCCACCTATCAGTTTCAAAATTGCTTCTTGGTTTTTAAAAATTTTTTGGATCAACCGTAGTGTAGTAAAAAAAAGACATTTTTGGCAAAATAGCTTCTTCTGTCCCAACGCTGTTGCATTCTGTATTGCTGGTTCCCAACCTGCTTGAACAAGCCCCAAACACAGCATCTGTAGCCACTGAAACATGAGGGGGGAAGCATCAGAAAGAGGCAAAGCCTGAAATACGTATTAAAAAAGGATAACCATCAGGCTTCAGCAATTTTCTGCAGGACCCTTCAGGGCAGATGTTGCACAACTGTTTGACAGGTGGGAGGGAGGCTGATCGCTTGCCACAGATTTGAAACTGCAGGAGGGGGCAGTTACATGACAGCACCAAGGACGGCGGAGAAGGATATAGGATCTACGTATCTCATAATATCCCAGCCTATGGCCAGTGGTGGGAGGAAGCTGAGGATTGTAGTTGGTCATCTCCAAGCCCTATCCTGGCTGCACAGTTTTTAAAAGTGTTTGTTTATTTGCTGTTAGATTCTTTAAACTTAGTCCAACAGCCAACAGAGTGGAGAATCCATTTTAAGATCTCCTCTGTTTGTGTGGCCTATCCAGAGCTTGCAGAAAATCAAAACAAATACTGTAAAAATCTTTTTTAGGGACAACACTCCGGTTTGTATTGGAATAATTGTCCCCAAAAGTAACTTTTCCAAGCTTTCCCTGGAAAGTACTTGGAGCACCATCTAACAGAGTCACGTGACTTAATGTGCTACCCACTGGCTACCCCTTTGGAAAAGACCAAGAAGAGATATTGGAATGTTGCTGTGCAGAGGTTGCCTTCAAGCAAGAGTGCCTAAGTTAACGTGCTCACTTGGGGCATTTGTGTGTGTGTGGTTCATAAAAAGAGGAGAGGGTTTTCTGCTCCCCTGCTGCTCTGTCCCACCATTTATGGATAGTTTCATCTGATTGGGATAGTACGGTAAATGAAATCGTCTCTTCTCAGTGCCTTGCATAGTATCTGCTGTAAGATTTATTCTGGAATTTCAGTTGTTGCTTTTAAAGTAGAATTTGCTGTTGCAACCAAAAAGCCAGTTTCAGTGATCAGATTGTTTAAAGTTTAGGGCACAGTCCTTCCTGTGTGTGCATTGTTGGGTGGCTACAGTGCTCTGCAAGTGTGTGAAGGATTGGGGAGTTGAAGGAAGAGCGTCTGATGCAGTAGCAAAGAGTGCAGGAAGCAAAGAGTTGAAGTGAGGTACTGAAGCACAGTGGACATTATACATTAGGAAGTGTATGCAGAAACTGGGGAAGGTTTGAAATGATAGTCAAGGTTTCCTTGATACATAGAGTCATAGAAAAATGAAGTTGGAAGGGGCCTACAAGGCTATCAAGTCCAATCCCCTGCTCAACGCAGTATTACAATCAAAGCATATCTGCCAGATGATTATCTAAGTTTTTCTTGAATACCTCCAGTGTTGGAGCACTCACCAACCCCTGAGATAACTCGTTCCACATTGCAAACAGTTTTGGTGAATTGCACGTGTGATAGATAATGCATATTAATTAGGCTGGAAATGTGAAAAGTGTATAGTTGGGTTTTGGTGTTTTTTTATTTGTTCGTCCTTTTAGTAGTCATATGGAAGAGGGATTCTTAGCAATGCAGTGTAGTGATTAAAGGTACAGGAACCCTGTTCTCTTTTTATGAGGACATCTTGATGAAATGAAGATATTATGAATTGTTTGCTCTTCTTTGTGTTCTCTGTGATTCATACCAATGGATTTTCCCTTGTCTGCATGGACATCTTTGGAACATTCTAGACCTTAGGTAAAAAAATGTTAACGTCTTCTCTCCCTATTGCATATCTTTCTGTCTTGCTGCTTATCCTCAATTCTCCGTAGCTGCTGATCATCTGTTGTTGTTGTTGATTGTGATTGTTATTACCATTTGTTTATGTAAACTTTCCTGCCTTTTATAGCAGAAAAGAAGACGGGGGGAGATAGGAGAACTCTCTTGAAATACTGGAAATATAGTTTTACAGAGGAGGGGCAGGATCTGTTCCTGATCCTCCCAGAGTTCAGGACATTTAATAATGGGCTCAAGATAGAGGAAGCCACATTTCAGCTGAATATGAGGAAAAACTTCTTAACTATTAGAGCAGGACAACAATTGAACCATTTATCTCAGGAGGTGGTGAGCACTCCCAACGTTAGAGGCATTCAAGAGAAAATTGAACAACCATCTGTCAGATTTGTTTTGATTTGGATTCGTGTACTGAGCAGGGGGTTGGATCTTGATGGCCTTATAGGCCCTTCCAACTCAATTATTCTGTGATTCTATAATCAGTCTCTCTCATCATCATGGTGTTTGCCTCAAAATAAAGAGCTAAAACAGTGGTCCTCAACCTTGGGCCTCCAGATGTTCTTGGACTTCAACTCCCAGGAATCCTGGCCAGCAGAGCTGGTGATTAAGGCTTCTGGGAGGTGTAGTCCAAGAACATCTGGAGGCCCAAGGTTGGGGATCATTGTGTTAAAAGACTTTGTTTGAGATCCCTTTCTGAAAAAGAAATCCCTCAGGAACATGCACCCTACTTTTAGCCATTCTTCCGAATGGAGTCTAGATACTGAACAAACCCTAAGCAAACTCTCATCTCTTTGTGAGAGTTCTAAAGAAATTCAGCATCGCGCCTCAAGTTGATCTTGTCAATTATTGTGGTTCTGAGAGATTTCAGAAGTGTTTTTATTAACATCCATTCAGACATGCATGATACCTCAATGCACATCTGAATGGATAGTGAATGTAATTACATTGGTGCCTCGCTTCGTGATGTTAATCGGTGCAGCAAAAATCGCTGCTAAGCGATTTCATCACTAAGCAATTTTTAAAAGCCCATAGAAACGCATTAAAACGTGTTTAATGCGTTCCTATGGGCTTAAAAACTAACCTTATGCGAAAATCCTCCATTGCAGTGGCCATTTTCGGTGCCTCTAAATCGAGGCAAAACAGCAGGGCGGCCATTTTGTTTATCCAGCGGCCATTTTGGAACCGCCGATCAGCTGGCCGGAAATGGGGGCTTTGCGATGATCGCTTCCTTGCGATCATCACAAAGCGAATTTTCCCCATAGGGGCCATCGCAAAGCGATCGCTCTTGCAATGGCAAAAAGTCCATCGCAAAGCGATTTCATCACTATACGGAGCGATCACTGTGCGAGGCACCACTGTATTCTATCCTACCAGTTGGTAAGGAAACAGTTTTCTCCGTTTATGAAAGACCATTCTACCAGAGCACTTTCTGCCTCCATAGCATTCCAAAGGAGTATTCAGATGTCAGATGTCTATAAAGCTGCAGCATGGTCTCAGCCATTGCTCATTAAAAGCAGAGATTGGGTGTCAGGATAAAACTAGATCCTTCATTTGTTAAAGAAGTCATCTCAAGTATTGGCTGGTAAGTGAGCTTGTCAGTCACCCATTGGTGTGAATCACAGAAAACGGGTAAATTATCTGTAACTGTACTTCTTTGAGTGGTTCTTTTTGAACTTGCACACCGCCCACCCAAATCTACCATGCTGTTCCTACTTTTATTCAGCAATGGATTGTGGGAATTGAGGATAAATGACGAGGTGGAGAGCATGCACGGTAGGGAGGGGTAGCTTGTTGTTACAGGGGATACACTTTTAAAAAGAGCCTGCTGGGGCCATAAAAGATGGGAAAGTCTCCACAAACAAACAAATAACAATAATGGAACAGATGAGTAAGAAAAGCTAAGTACAGTGGTGCCTCGCTTAACGAGCGCACCGTATAACGACGAAATCGCATAGCGATGCGGTTTCCGCGTTCGCTAATGCGATCGCTTACCGATGGTCCCAATGGGCGAAACTCGCACAGCGAAGGTCGGTAAGCGTTTTGCTTACTGACCTTCGCTTTGCGACCCGCGGATCAGCTGTTCGGTGGGTCCAAAATGGCCGCCGGAACAGCCGAAAATGGTTGCCGGCTATGGGAAGACTTCGCTAAACGGTCAGTTTTCAGCCAATTTGGAACACATTAAACGATGTTTAATGCGTTCCAATGGCTTTTTACTTTCCGCTTAGCGAAGTTTTCACATAGCGAAGGTTAATCCGGAATGGATTAGCCATGTTTCCCTGAAAATAATGTACATATAAAGAAACTGCTTGTATGAAGGATATAGAAGCTCTGAAGGTATTTATTCAGCGGCAGCTGAGGGAAATGGAGGATAAGCAGTGAAATAGAAAGATGCGCAAGTGCCATGTTTCCCTGAAAATAAGACAGGGTCTTATATTAATTTTTGCTCCAAAAAACAAATTAGGGCATGTTTTGGGGTTATGTTTTATTTTATAGCCATGTCATCATCTTCTGGTAGCTGCACAATGGTGGAGGGTGGGGTTTCACTTAACTGGGACTTGTATATTGGGGTAGGGCTTATATTACGAGCGTCCTGAAAAATCATACTAGGTCTTATTTTCAGGCTAGGTCTTATTTTCAGGGAAACAGGGTAGGTAGAGTAGGTGTTAACATTTTTTCCCCCTAAGACTCTGGAATATTCCAAAAATGTCTGCTCAGGCATGGGAAAATCCATTGGTGTGAATTCACAGATGACTGGTCAAAGAGCAACAGTTACAGGTAAGTAACCTGTCCTTGGTGATTTGGTTGGTATCCCTGAACAGCTTGCAGACAATTCAGTTGCCTTGTTGAAAAGAAGTTCTTGGCAAATTTTTCCAAGTGTTTTTTGTACTCTGCGTTGTTTTCCCTAACCTGGTACACTGATTCTCTCTCTCTCTCTCTCTGATGCAGGAATGGGTTGGACAAGTGGAAATAAGTGCCCTTTCTCTTATGTACAAGTAAGAACTAGCTGTAGAGCGGTAACAGTGGTGAAATAATACATTTGAATTTGCTGGAAAATGAAATCTATTTATATGTTTGCATCAGTGCAGGTGCCATCTGTGAGGTACTTATTAGGAGAAGGGAGCTTAGAGGGATATACTCCACACTTCGCTACCTTCACTAACAGAAGGAAGGTTATTTATTTCAGGAAATGTTTATCCAAGTGTGGGATTACTATATTTAATAAAAAGCAGGGGAAACAGACTATTTTCAGTGTCCATTTTTACAGTGGTTCCTAGAGTAGTTGACATAAACGAGATAAGTTTGCTGTGCTGCTCTACTAAGTATACAAAGAAAGGTGTATAGCATAATATTATATGTATCTACTCATAAGTAAGTTCTCCATAGTGGAAGAATTCAAAATAACCCTCTCCAAACCAAGGTAAACCCTGATGTTTTCCAGATTTTTCCATTTTTTCTATCTAGGCCTTTATATAATAGTTGCCTGTCTTGGATTTTGCAGGAAATAAATCAGATATAACTAAATAATAACCTTTCAACAGGTGCACCCAAGGGGTTCTGGTCTCTTAAAATACAGTGGTGCCTCGCGGGACGAAAACCCGCAAGATGATTAGATTTTGTGATCACTATGGTGCCTCACAAGACACTTTTTTTTCCTATGACCGTACTTCGCAAGACCTTTTTTTTTGAGACTGATGCTTTGCAAGACTTTTTTTTTTAGACTGATGCTTCACAAGACTTATTTTTGAGACTCATGCATAGGGAACCTCGCAAGACAATTTTTTCACATGACGATGATTTCCGTGGAACGAATTAAAATCGTCTTGCGAGGCACCACTGTAATGTTCTTTTTTTACTTACTAGTAGAAGTTTTAATTGTGCCTTTTAAAAAAGTAGCTAGCTAGTTTAGGTGTCTGGCTGTGGAGCCATAGGTTGCGAAGTAGATTCATACAGTGCCTCTTGTGAGTAGAGCCAGCCTGGGTGGCCTTGGGCAATCTGCACAGTCCCAGAGTGCCCCCAGAAGTAGGCAACAGGAAATCATGTCTTAGTACCCTTTAGCTGGAAAACCCTGAAAAGGGTTGCCATAAACCTTTTTTGATTTGTGCCCCTAATGTATTGATGTCATTATTTGTTATTTCGTTGTTTTGTTTACTTGTTGTAAACCACCCAGAGTGGCCTTGGCTGCCAGATGGTCGGTCGGTCGGTCGGTCTGTGTGTGTCTGTCTGTCTGTCTGTGTGGAGTGGCCTTGACTGCCAGATGGTTGGTCGGTCTGTCAGTCAGTCAGTCAGTCAGTCATTTGACAGTGTATGACGAGGATGACCTTAAAAAGTGACTAGATTTTATACCGTTTTTCCATGGGGGCCAGGTTCTTTGGACTGGAAGATAAAGTGGGGTAAACATTGTTTTAAATAGCACCCTAGTAATCAGTAAGCATTTGGTGCTTCACGTTTTTCAGAATAATACGAAATATCTGAGGGCAGAGAGATTGTACTGTGGAGATGATGAAAAATATGTGCGCTGTTTGAATTTCTGGACAAACATGAGAGATGTTGCAGGCAAAAGGTAGTAGGAAATACTGGCATGGAGGAAGGGGATGGGAAATTAGATTTAGCTCAGTGGAGAGAGTTGAGAGACACTTAAGTTACTACTAGTGGTTACTGCTCAGTGTTCCCCAACCTATGGTTCTTTGGACTTTTGCTCCAAGAATTCCTGTGACTCAGTCAAGCTGTTTGGACTGGATGGGATCTGAGGTTCAAAATACCTGGAGGGTACTGGGTTGGGGGAGTCTTGTTCAAACAGATTGTTGCATATCTCCCATTTCCTTTAGTACGACTCCTATACATTAATCTTTTTATGTCAAAGCTTGTGTTTTTTTATAGCTCTTGTTTTCTTGCATTTTTCTAGAAAAGATTTTATAATCTATCAGGAACCAAATACCACTCCTTCGCAAGTAACTGAAAATGGCTTTCCTGACAAGGTAAGACTAGCAAAGCTGATTCTGCAAATGAGTAGCAATAATGCATTGTTCAATAGCAGGGACATTTTGGCAGCAATAAGAGAGGATGCTTTTTTAGGACTTTTTTTGTGGGGTTCTTGTGCATACCCATTGCTTTATGACCCCCAAGCAATAGGAAATCTAAGAGTAACTGCTTGTGCACCCCAGCTAATTTATTTAAGAAAAAATTGTCTACAGAACTGAGCTTTGTTGTGTTCAGTGGATAAGATTCAACTCTGCTTCTTAAGTTGATAATGGAATATTGCTTTTTTTCTTTTAAAACTATTTATTGAGTGAACATGGAATTTTGCTTCTGAGCCTAAAACAAGCAGTATCGTGTGTGTTGGAGGGGGCTAAGACGACGTAGACTGAGGGCTAAAGCAGACTAAAATGTGTAGCCAGTTTCGCTTGCGTGTTTTTTTTAACTCTCTTGCACTAGGAGAGCAATCACATAGTTTGAATTGTGGGGCATGTTTTGAACCCCGTGAGAATTACTGCAGGATGTAAGCGTGGAACAGTGTTTATGGGTGTGGAATCAAGTGAGTTTCACCCAAACACCCAGACAAGGCAAGGCGCAATAAAAATAAGACAAAGTAACATAAAACAAAATGTTTATGTCTTGTGTTGTTGAGGTATTTCTGTCCTTGGTGAATTCCATTTTTCCTTACCTCAGTGGAAGAATTGTTGATTTTTCCCAAATAGGGCCGGTGCCCTAAAGACCAGAGCATTTCACCTCTGCTTTTCTGCATCATGAAGTGATGAAAAACAGCATGGGGCCATTTGTTTTGTTCCAACATTTTACGCTGAGTGGGATAAAAAAGTACATTGGTGATAATGATCAATAGATTTCTTTTGGCGTCTTTTCCCCTAGTCATTTTCTGTCTTTTTGTAGGGGTGGTGGTGGTAATAGCAAGTGACTGAAATTTGGGGCCATTTTGGAATTACTGTGCAAATGACAATACCATACAACGACCAACGTTGTAGTTCCCCTTTTGTATCAGTTCTGTTTTAGTTTTCCAAGAGTAACAAATGGAAAGAGTAACTCTTGGAAACCAAAATGTCCCATTGCAATGGAGGAAAGTTGAAATAATGATTAATGACTGCAAGGTCTTTGGTATGTCTGATTTCATCAAGGTCAAATACTGGTGTGGCCCCCCCCTTTTGAAAACAACAGTTTACCTTTCAGGGAGAAACTTTGCAGCAGCAGTAGCAGCAACTTTCTGTTCTGGAGAAAATAGTAGATCCAAGGTTGTTAGGCGTGAGAACATACGCTATACAGTGGTGCCTCGCTTGACGAGGGTAATCCGTGCTGTTGAAATCGCTGTTAAGCGAAGTCCTCGTCAAGCAAAATTAAAAAGCCCATTAGAATGCATTAGAAATCGGCTAATGCGTTCTAATGGGCGATATACGTCATCATAAAGCGAAGATCCTCCATACGGTGGTCATTTTCGGGTGCCTGTCTTGCGCAAAATGCCTCCTGAAAACAGCGGGGGCCATTTCGAAAACCGCTGATCAGCTGTTGAAAAAACATCGTTTAGCGAAAAATCGGTTCCCGAAGCAGGGAACCTATCATCGCTAAGGGAAAAAAATCCCATTCAAACATCATTTTGCAATCGCTTTTGCGATCACAAAAACATTATCGTGAAGCAAATTCATCATTAAACGGGGTAATCGTCAAGCGGGGCATGACTGTACCTACTCTTAATAGGTTTAAAATTCTGGCTGTTCCTCGGTCCTTCATAGGCACCTCATTGGCCGTTGTGTGGAAAGAGTTCTGGCTTAGATCCAGTGGGCTCCTAGTTCTTACGGACCTTCAACTTCATTCTGATGCTAATAAAATGCGTATAAGCAGAGTTCTGCTTGGCCTCTTCTGTTTTTATCCAGTAAATGCAGGCTCTGTGGCACATTGTTAAGTGCAGACTCTGGAAATAATCTTACTTGCATTATTAGTATTAGTTTTTTGGAGAGAGGTATTAGAGAATTTGTTGGAAGATGTTTGGTCAGCTTGTTATCGTATTGTGTTATAAATGGTTTTCTGTTTCCATCTAGATACTGCTGTGTTTTTCAAATGGCAGTCACTATGATATTGTTTATCCTATAGAATATACCATCCGTGCTGCTCTTTGCCAGTGTAAGTATTAATGTGTTTTATTGGCTTTGCAAAATGTGGTGGGAGGAGGGTTCAGAGTGGAAACACTCACTCTCTGCAATTACCTGGTCTAAGGTTTTTTGGTGGACTTTTAGAGCTTCTAGTAGGGGATGGTAGCTATCATATACCCTTGACCAAAGAATGGCACACTTCTATCTGGGATGGTCACTCTCTTCCACTTAGGAAGGATGCACGTGGAGTGCTGAGAGAATGGGGACACCCACCTAACCAGCCAGATTGGACAAATCTGGCTTGGGGATCAGTGGCATGACACATGGCAATCTGGCCGCAGCATCTGTCATCTCATTAATCTGGCTGGTGAGGTGGGTGTCCCCATCTTTTCTCTCTGCTGCATGTGCATCACTCTTGGGGTTGTGTACTTGGAAGAGGGTGACCATCCCATTTCGGAGTGTACCATTCTTCTTGTTGGAGCAACAAGAAATTGACCTTTTATGAAAGGAGAGGGGGGTTCTGTCTTGGTGCAAAGCTATTGGGACAGCGCTATGTTTGCTTGTACAGTGGGGTCTTGACTTGAACACTATGTTTGCTTGTAGTTTCCTTTTACTTTCTTTGTGTCCTAAATTTTAGGATTCAGGATCTCTTTAATCCTAGCATAGACAGAAGTATTCTTGTACTAATTCTAAAGACACATGTAGTTTCAAGGTTGGAACTTGAAGCGTGGCGTGATGTGGGTAAAGTCTCATTGGTTAGTTAACCTGGTGTAAGTCCAGTGGTGTAAATCTCAATGACTGATTGCATCTCGTTAACAAGGTGCCACTTGTATCCCTCATTGTGCAGCAGCCCATGCCACTGGCGCATGACAAAGGATACAAGTATCATCTTGTTACCTAATGGCAATTCAGTGCTGCTGTTTCTGTCACTGCACATGTGATGGTGTAACTCAGTGGTTCTTAACCTTTGTTACTTGGATGTTTTTGAACTGCAACTCCCAGAAACCCCAGCCAGCACGGTTGGTGGTGAAGGCTTCTGGGAGTTGCAGTCCAAAACTCCTGAGTAACCCAAGGTTAAGAACCAGTGGTGTAACTAACCAATAGGGTTCTGCCTATTGCCTTAATCAGTTTTGGCTTCTTACTTTCTTTGCATCCTAAATTTTAGGATTCAGGATCGCTTTAATCCTAGCATAGACTGCCCGCACAGAAGTGTTCTTGTACTAATTCTAAAGACACATGTAGTTTCAAGGTTGGAACTTGAAGCGTGGCGTGATGTGGGTAAAGTCTCATTGGTTAGTTAACCTGGTGTAAGTCCAGTGGTGTAAATCTCAATGACTGATTGCATCTCGTTAACAAGGTGCCACTTGTATCCCTCATTGTGCAGCAGCCCATGCCACTGGCGCATGACAAAGGATACAAGTATCATCTTGTTACCTAATGGCAATTCAGTGCTGCTGTTTCTGTCACTGCACATGTGATGGTGTAACTAACCAATAGGGGCTGCCTATTGCCTTAATCAGTTTTGGCTTCTCCTGGGCATTCCTTCCATCCACTGGGTTTTTGGTACAGTACTAAATAGAACCCAGATATTCTGCTGGCAGGCAGGGGAAAGGAATCGGGCAGAAGGATTTGTGAAAGAAGCCTTGGTCTTACCTTTATTGGGGCTTCTATAGAGATCGGGTGTGATCTAGATCAGATTGCATTTGTTCAGTGGGGCTATCCCATTATCTATAAGTCCCAAGTTCTCCCAAATGTTGCTCCTGTAGATCTGGGAACTTTCTTGAATGTCATGGAAGTAAAACTTGGAAAAGTGATCTTTTTGATCTTTATTTTATTCATTCATTCATTCATTCATTCATTCATTCATTCATTCATTTATTTATTTATATCCTGCCCATCTGATCAGTTGACCATTCTGGGCGTCTAAGAACACTCAAAATAAAACAATTTAAATATGGCATCAATATATAACATCAATGTATAACACAAACCCCATTCAGCCAAGGTCCCTAAATGTTTAGCAACATTTATCCTGGGCAGATTGATGGCATCTTCCCCAAACTATATAGTGCTTATGCAAACATCCCTAGAGGACACTGGCTGCTTATTACATTTGGGAAAGTTGTCCTTGCAGTCTAATCTTAATGCTTCTCTGTTGGTCTTCTTAAACTAGGTGAAATGATGTCTTTTGAGGAACTTGTTAAACTAATTAATCTTATCTGAGGTATATTTGTGAGGAATTGATTATTTGGGATTTTTTTTGTCATGCCTAGCTATTCTCTATGAAGTGCTCTATGAGAAAGTCTTTGGCGTTGATGTGAGTAACATCTTAGAAGAACTTGAACCTCCTGGTGCGACAAAGGATGGCAGCTGGAACAACGAAGCATCTGATTCAGAGGACGAGAACATGGAGTAAGCTCACAGACTGGAAAGTTTAAATGCATAGGGAACCTCTTCGTCCTCTTATAGCTGAGAAGAGAATAACTCTTGAGAGTGTGAGGAAATGAGAGTCTGAGGAAACCACAAGTTTCCTTGAAATTAGGTGTCTCCTTTAAAAGGTTTGTTTTCTTTCTCCTACTGCCAGGGTGCATGAAAAGGATTATTACCTTGAGCAGCAGGATGCTTAAACCAATGACATAATAACTGATTGAAGAAAGGACAGACCCCAACTTGTAAATATTTAAGTTTCCATTCTTAAAGTACAGATACCCAATTCTTAAAGTAGGTACCCAATGCGTTGTGGCAGCGCACTATTACAGAAGCAGATCAGATGGTTTGATTTGATATTTTACTTAAAATATATTTTTACCCCACCTTTCTCCTTAAAAAAGACCCAAGGCAGTTTACATAATTAAAAAGACAATATTTAAAAGCTAAAAACAGTAGGTATACAACATTAAAGAAGAATGAAAGAAATATGTTTAAAATTGTAAATAAAATCATTAGTAAATTTAAAAGCAACAAGGTGCAACAATCCATTTTTTTAAAAAACCCTCTCAGACAGACAGTCACTAAGGAAAAGCCTGCCTAAAGAGAAAGCTCTTTGCCTGCTTGTGGAAGGACAGCTAAGATGGGGCCAGTCTGGCCTCCTTTGGGAAGGAGTTCCATAGTCTGGGAGCAGCTGCAGAGAAGGCCCTCTCCTGTGTCCCCCACCAAATGCACTTTTAAATGGTTTAACTTATATCTTGCTCGTTTCTAGAATTGGGACAAAAGGTGCTGAATCCAGCTACTAATCCCAACTAGAGTTGACTAATTGAATTAACTAGACTTGCTTAGAATCTTTATGCTCCATTGATGGGCTTATTCTGATTGGGGCTGTGTTTTGGATTTAGCCCCTTGTGGCTCATAACATGGTTAAAGAACAGAGATGGGTTCTTAGGACCCTTCTGTGACAGAAAAGAAAACTTGATGGCTTCATATTGGAAATTAAATGCATACAGTTTTGTGCTTATGAACTGCAGTTACCAGAATCTCCCAGGCAGCATAGGTTAGTTGCTTGTATTATTAAGTTTCAATAACTGTATTATTCAATTGTATTTTATCTTGCTTGTAGTATTAAGTTTTAATAACTGTATTGTTCAATTGTATTTTATCATTTTTTGTAAGCCGCCCCGAGTAGATTTTGTCTAGAGAGAGGCAGGGTATAAATCTAAATAAAGCAAAAGTAAATTTGATGTACCGGTGTTAGAAAGATAGCATAGGCTAACTGAATCGTATTAAGTTTTAATAACTGTATTGTTCAATTGTATTTTATCATTTTTTGTAAGCCGCCCCGAGTAGATTTTGTCTAGAGAGAGGCAGGGTATAAATCTAAATAAAGCAAAAGTAAATTTGATGTACCGGTGTTAGAAAGATAGCATAGGCTAACTGAATCACATTTGATGTACCGGTATTAGAAAGATAGCATAGGCTAACTGAATCATACAACTTGGCATGCAGCAGGAAATGCCAATAGACCCTTCTTAGTGACAGGTCACCAGCCAGATTCATGCTAATTGTGTTCATGCTGGCAGCCATAACTAATAGGATTTTGGCCGTTGTTTTTCACTTGGAATAGTATGGGTTGAGAGCCAGTGCAGCATCTAGGATTTTGCAGACCTTTGTTAAAATCACCACTTGGCCATGAGATCCAGAGGGGGACATTGGGCCAGTCCCAACTTCTCAGCATAGCCTATCATTGGGATGTTGTGAAAATGAAGTGGGGAGGAGGAGAGCCGTGTACATTTATTTATTATTATTATTATTTATTTAATTTATATCCCGATGTACATCATCTTGAGCTACTGAAGGAAAGGCAGGATATAAATGTAAATAATAAATCAGTCAATAAATAAACTTTGAGTTTCTTTTAAAGTGGTTTTACCAGCCTTGTGTGCATCCCAGTCAAACCAAATTATTTTGATTCCAGATAATTTGGTCTTAACCAAAGATAGTAATCTTAACACATTATTGGGTTGCCATATTCTATGGACGATTGCTCCTGGAGATGATTCATGTTAGTGTCAGAAGATCTTGCTTGATTTTGAATTGTTTATATAGCTTTTTTCTCTTCACAGGAATGAAGTGTCTACAGATGGATTGAATCCTCTTGTGGGCAATAAGGTATTCTATTTTGATACTAAATTGAATGTAAAAGACTCTACCTCTGGATTAATGTAATGTAGTACAGATTGTTTAATACTATATCTGGAGGCAAAATTGATGGCATTAAGGTACTACTTTGGGCACATCATTATAAGTCAGGAATCTCTGGAAAATTTATCATGTCTGCGACTGCAATAAAAATTTATTGATTAATTCTTTGGAAAAGACAGTAAGGCCAGGAAAAGTGGGAGGCTGCAGGAAAAGAGAAAGAACAAATACAGAATGGACTGATTTCTTAAAGGAAGCCAGAGGCGTGAGTTTACAAGAGTTGAGCAGGGCAGTTGAGGACAGGACATTTTGGAGATTGCTTATTCTTAGGGTTGCCATGTGTTAGAGGCAACCTGACAGCACATAACAACAGTACAGGATGGATACTAGCATTTAGAAGTGTACGTATTTAGGAGCAAGTCAAATTCATCAAAGAAAATCTAGTCTGCTATCCTAATGTGAAAATCAAAAAAAGTTTGATGGCACTTGCATCCCACCAAAAACATTGGGATCCAGGTCCTGTAGTTATATTATTAAGGCTGCAGTCCCAGAAGTACTCAGAATAGATTAAGCATCACTAAATATATTTGGACTTCTTTGTACAGCAGATTGCATTAATTTTGTGTGGAATGCACATTTTTCTGATAATGCGTTCCTTTGAAAGGAAAAACATCTTGCTCTCTTAGCCTAACTAATAAACATGTGGTCAGTGGAAGGAAACAATTCTGGTTGCTAAGCAGTGACTCATTGTTCGTATGTTACTCCGTTGGTAAGCTTCACTCTACATGCCAACAGACCAGAGATGTATTGCATTATTACTTTTCAGTTATTGTGAATACTCAGTTAGTTGAGGGTTTTTTTACAAACGACATTTTAATAGGTAAGTACTCCTTTTTTTCTATGTCTTAAAACATTTTGAATGTAAATATTGGCAGGTTGTAAATAATGCATACATTCCCAGTCATTTAAAGTGTCCATCTGCTCTTGTTTGCTTGTTCTTATTTTCTGTTGCTTGTTTTTGCATAGCACATTCCCAGACATGAAAGAGCCAATGCCATCCCCTTACCTAGAAGTGTTCTTGGATCACTCAATCCATCCATTTACCAGAATGTCGAATATGAAGTCTGGCAGCGGTCAAAACGAGGTAGGGTTCCACATTTGCAGACTGTGGTGTGGGTGCGGGGAAGGAAGACAACTGTTTTTCTGTACTCATCTAATGGTATATAACATGTCTTCTTTCTGTATTTACAGCCCAGCAAAAACAAGATTTTTCTATTGCTGCTGGCATGCAGTATTCTGTCGGAGATAAATGTGAAGTAGGTAGTGCTGAATTAAGTAATTCCATTTTATTCTCTCTCATAATTCAGTCTCATCTTGTGCTGCTATATTTTTTCATAGTGATACCTCTTTTCTGTCCTGACACAATAGAGTACTTTGTCCACTACATCAGCCTTCTGTAGCCTGGTGCTCTCCAGATGTGTTAAATCACTGTTCCCATCATCCTCAGCTTGGCTGATGAGAATGATGGGACCTGTGGATAAGTGTATCTGTGGATAAGTGCAACACCAAGTTGGAGAAGGGTGTCTCCGTGCAAGAAGATAGGAAAAGTTGTAGGCTATCCAAACATAGTTAGCTGCAGGTCTTTTTATAAACCTCCTTTCAAGTTTTAAAGAGTTCAGGAGGAAGGAATAAATCAATTACATGAGACACCACTCCTTTATATTTATTTTCCTTGTTCCACAGGTCCGTTTAGACCACGGTGGAAGGTTTTACAATGCTCATATCCAAGAAGTCCAGTCTTCAAGTGAGCCAATTGTTGTCTTTGTGGAAGAGCTTGGTGTCAGGTAAGTACAATCTTAAGAGAAACATCTGAATGGTCAAAGCTGTTTGACAGTGGAACAATGTGTAGGTTGCTCTCCTAGATCCATTTGAGCAGAGGGCAAGATAGCTGTCTGTCTATATAGCTAGCTTCCTGCATCACAGAAGATGCGTTGGGCAGACGATGGACCTGGTGACCTTCATGATCCTTTCCAGCTATGATTCTGTACTGTACTGTCAGTGGGTGGCAAACCACTGGCACGCCACATGTTTGGAACTTCAACTTCCCCCACCCTTTATCATTATTGGTTATTGTTATAATATTTGCTTTGATTTGACTGTTAACTACCCAGGATAGTATAAATATTGAATGAATGAATGAATGAATGAATGAATGAATGAATGAATGAATGAATGAATGAATGAATGAATGAATGAATGAATGAATATTCTGGGAACTGTAGTCAAAAACATCTGGAGCACTAAAGGTTTGCCACCCCAGTAACATAACACATTTTGCCACACACATATATGTTAGAGGAATGTTGACACTTTCTGTCTAGTTGACTCGCAGTGTAGTTTTTTTAAAAAGGACCTGTAGTTATGAATGTATTCAGTGCTTGGTTCAACTGAATCAGCTTTTCTGAGAACACCAAGTATTTTCTTAGCATGAGTGTTTTGTGTTAAAACTTTGCTCAAACCCATGTAGAGCTGTGCTGTTGCATGCCCTTTGAATCTGGGTAAGGGACTACCTAGTCCAGTGGTGGCTTACAGCTCCTTGTCCAGACTAATAAGTTGTGTTGTTTTTGTGGCATGTTACTTGCAAATTAGACCACTATGCTATGACATTTTCTTTCCTTTTCTGTGCAGGCAGTCAGTGCTGCTGAAGAATCTTAAACCACTTCCTCAAGCATCTCCCCTGGAAAGCTGGAATACTGTGCCAGGGAAGAAGACTAAAAAGCCAACCCCAGTGTATGCCCAAAACATTAAGACTGGTACGCTTCCCTTGACTGATGTGAATTGTGCTATCTTGATGGTCAAGCAGTTGGTCTAGGCTCCATCCTATCAGGCCAGTTAGGTTGATGCGGTGAGATTTCCCTTGCTCTTCACCTTGTCACACACCTGTCAGCATCTGCCCCAGAAAGCCCACTATCATTCTGGAGAAGAAATTCTGTTTTTGGAGGTGGATGGATAAAGAAGTAGGAGTTTGGTTCTGATTGTAGTTTCTGGTTTGCTGGCAGCTGGATTAGATTGGATATAACTCTATAGCTTAACTAAGAAAAATGTATGTTCCAGATGCACAGAGCAGAGGGCCCAAGAACCCGAACAAACCAATAAAGGCCCAGTCAGCAGTGCCTCCGCGACTTCAGAGTGCAAGGCAGCATCATTTATCCTTTTCTGGAGGGCATTCCCAGCAGTCCTCTCCTGAGCACAGAACTTCAGGCAGAAATCCTCAGCAGGCTGCCAGGTAAAAATTTAAGGCTTTATGTGGTGATTTATTCAAGTAGCTCGGTGTACCTCAAGGGACTGTAGCTTCTGCATGTGGCATCTGCTGATGTTGGCTGCAGCCCATGCAAGCTGTCTTAGGTGCCAGAAGATTCTCTGTGGTTACACTTCTGGATGTTTATTAATATTCTAGTGCACCAGCATCTTTTTCGCTAGGAGGTTTTAAACTTTCATTGGGTTTCTGTTCTTCACTTGATTGAGTTAACAGGTGAGCTTGCAACCTATGCGTAACAGATTTATCCGGGGGGTGTTAGCAAATGTCTGAATTGTCCTTTTAAAGTGATGATGGGTTTCTTCCACCATAGGTAAATTTACACTGCTGTTAAATGTGGCCGATAATTTGGCAACTTTTAAAATAAACTTTAAAAGCTTTTTTTGTACTGTGCTATGTATAGTACAGTCGTGCCCCACTTAATTGTGATCGCAAAACAATGTTTTAAATGGGGTTTTTTTCACTTTGTGAAGATCGGTTCCTTGCTTCAGGAGCCGATTCTTCGCATTACGACGATCAAAACAGCTGATCATCGGGTCTTCAAAATGGCTGCTGGGTGCTCAAAATGGCTCCCCGCTGTTCTTAGGGATGGATTCCTCGCTATACAGGCACCAAAAATGGCCCCCGTATGGAGGATCTTTGCTGAACAGTGAGTTTTTAGCCCATTGGAATGCATTAACCAGGTTTTAATGCGTTTCAATGGGTTTTTTAATTTTCGCTTTACGTTTTTGCTCTACAGCGATTCCGCTGGAACGAATTAACGTAGTTAAGCGAGGCACCACTTTACTTCATTTTTGAAAAATGAGAATTTGAATCATTATCTAAGGGACAGGGTATCATATCTGGAATTGATTGCAACAGTAGCTTTTTTCACTCTCTGTTTTGGTGGCTGAAAATCTGTTTTTGGCTTTCCATTTCAGAAAGGCAGATGGCGAGCGAACAGAAGATTTGGACGGCACAAATAGGGATTGCAGCAGCACTGGCTTTCCTCCAGAAGAATGCAAAGAGAAACAGGCTGTAGAAGAGATGCACTCACTTTATGGGATTCAGTTACAGGATGAAGATGACTTTCCTGCACTTTCGGTATGCAGGAAGGGATTGCTAGACAAAGCCTGCCGCCCCTAATGCTTCACTTTTCTCTTTTAGTAAATAGTGACATGGATAAATAGGCTACTGCTACTCCTTTTCTCATTATACCATTATCTTATCATTCTTTCTGCGAAAGTTTTAAATATAGCATATGCCAAGATGGACAGCTGTGGCTCTCTGGATGTTTTCATCTTATACTTCCCAGCAACCTTGACCAGCATAGCTAGTGGCAAATAAGAAGAGGAGCTGCAGTCTAGAAACATCTCAAGGGCACAGGTTCCTGTACAAGTTACGAACAATGGTATTGTAACCATATACAGTGGTGCCCCGCTTGATGATTACCCCGGTAAACAACAAAATCGCTTCACGATGAGGTTTTTACGATTGCTATTGCGATTGCAAAACAATGTTTCAATGGGGAAAATCCACTTCACGACGATTGGTTCCCTGCTTCAGGAACTGATTTTTCTCTTCCTGACGATCAAAAACAGCTGATCGTCGGGTTTTCAAAATGGCCACCTGCTGTTTTCCAGACCTATTTCCGGAAGACAGCGATTGAAAATGGCTTCCCCTATGGAGGACCTTCGCTGGATGATGAGGTATTTTGCCTATTGGAACGCATTGAAACGGTTTTCAATGCATTTCAATGGACTTTTTTTTTTTTGGCTTGATGACGATATTGCTTAAGAGCGATTTTAAAGGAGCGGATTAATGTCATCAAGTGGGGCACCACTGTAAATGTCCTATCCTGGAAAGTGCAGATTCTCCAACAAGAGGCTCGAAACAATGGTATAGATCCCTTTACATAATTCCACCTGGACAGCGGGAATGGTGTCACTGACAGCAGCAGACTGCCAGTAATTAAAGAGTCCCTGCTTTGATTTTGGAGTGTGTGTGCGACTTGCACACAATGAGACAAGGTCACATACACTTGGCAATCAAAGTGGGGCTTTTTAATGTGCTGATGATGGTGACATCACTTCTCTTGTGCAGGTCAAGCTGCACAAGAGGGCATTGGCTAAGATGATGTTTTGTATTTATTATGGTGGGGGAGGTGTCTACACACAAGTCCACCATTGCCACCTGGCATAATGAGGCAAACATTAGAGCCCCTAGTGATCATGCACACAATGAGACAAAGTCACATACACTTGGCAATCAAAATGGGGCTTTTTAATGTGCTGCTGATGGTGACATCACTCCTCTTGTGCAGGTCAAGCTACACAAGAGGATATTGGCTAAGATGATGTTTTGTATTCATTATGGTGGGAGTGGTGTCTACAGACATGTCCACCATTGCCACCTGGCATAATAAGGCAAACATTAGAGCCCCTAGTGATCATGGATACCACCATTGGATGGCAGTGGTGCCAGCCAAAGCTCCAGACCTGAACATCATGTGGATGTACCGGTCTTCATTGTCATAGAAGTGTTGCTGATCTCAGACGTCATGTCCATCTGGATGCCTGGAGAGAGGCTAGCTCCACCGACTCATAACTGGAATGGGGCAGTTAGCAGTTAGAGCCAGGATCATCTGCAGATACTTCTAATTGGTTTCTTCCTCAAATCAAGCGTGACATAGGGATTTTGAAAAGAGATTAGGATTCATTGAATGTAGGGAGTAACAGGTGCTGTAGGGCTGA